GATGGAGAACCACGAGGAAGGTCCATGGGGATCCACCGGGTATTGTGATAGCCCAGTAAGGATATCGCAATCTTTGGCATGAGAATGGACCTCCTGCGTTTTTGGCCATGGGGGCGGATTTTATGGGAGAGGAGAGGAGAGGAGAGGAGAGGGGAGGGGAGGGGAGGGGAGGGGAGGGGAGGGGAGGGGAGGGGAGGGGAGGGGAGGAACAAAAGCAGCGGCAAGTACGGTAGGGCGACGCCGTAACTTGACTTGTGTGGACTTAGGGCCGCCGGGAAAGTCAACGGGAAGTGAACTGAAGGCCCAACAGCTGCAGTGCCAGGAGGGGAGGAGGAAGCATGAGTGAATCAGGTGAATCCCAGGATCGTCACGATTATCCCTGGTTGCAGTCGGAGATCCAGGAGCTGGAGCAGGAGCTCGAGCTTGAGCTGGACTCGGAGCATGAACGGGAGCTTGAAGACGCTCTGGACCAGGAGTGGGAGTGGGAGAAGAATGGCGGCGGCGAGCATCTGAATCAGCATGACCATGACCATGACCATGCACAGCAGGAGCAACAGCAGCAGCGTCACACACTTCACTTCCAGCAGGAGGAGCAGGTCAATCCTAGGAAGGTCTTTAACGCTCGGCCGCCAGCGATGGAGCGTGAGGAGATGAAAAGCCAACGGCAGCTGGCGATGGAGGCTCTGTTCAGCCGGGAGACGTCGGAGGCACAGTGGGAGGTTGCAAACTTCTTGTCCATCCGAGAGCTCGAGAGCGCCATGTCCACTATCTTCCGAACAAGATCGACGCCGGGAAAGATTTTAGAGGCAAAGAGCAAGGCGCTGCTTACTCCCCTCTCACCCCTTAAGTATTCTCCTCCTCCTCCTCCTCCCTCCCGGCTCTTGCGAGTGAGTTTTGGCCAGCCCAGCGAGCTGCGGGTAGGCAACGAGAATGAGCAGAAGGACTTGGCTGTCTCAGTCGCAGTTTATGACGGGCAGGAAGAGTGAGCGACGGCCTTCTCCTCCTCCTTCTCTTGCTCATCTCGTTTAGCAGGAGCACGCAAATGACCGTCCTCACCGAGGGATGCGAAGAAACTCTGAGCCTCAACTTCGACCGGGTCTTGACCTTCCCGGTGCGGCTAAGACAGGATCACCTCCGCATCCGCTTCTCACTCTGGTGGGCACTTATCTTTACTACACGTTCTCTCCCTCGGCCTTCTCGAGGCTCTTCTCCATCCCCCTCTCCCGCCTCCCGCCTCGCTTTCTTGTCTCATGGATGTGCAGGGACCATGGCAAGTCTCTCTTGCTCGGAGGTTCGGAGCTTCTTTTCCCTCGAGGTCTCCCGCCCCATGCTCGAGAAGAGCGCTTGGAGCTGCGAAAGGTTTCCTCTTACACTCCTCCCTCCTCCTCCATGACGTTGTGGAATGGGGCAGGTGGGTGAGGCTTCTCCTCAGGCCGTCGGTTGGGTCACGCTCACCCTCGAGCTCCTGCAGGACGGGCAGGTCGAGCAGACGATTTTTGGCGCGTGTTGTGACATGGTGAGCATGCAGGACGGGTATGAGTCAATGGGGGAGCGAGCGGTGGGCGTCTCCTTCTTCTCGGAGAGAAGTTGGAAGGAGATCAAGGTCGCTCTTACTGCCTTCTACGACCTCTTGCTCACCTCAGATTTTCTCAGCTTGCAAAGCACTCGTACGAGGAGAAATTCGCTCGAGATCTGGCGGCGACGGTGGGACTGAGCCATGACCAGCTGGAGGTCTGCCCGTGCTCTCCCTTCCTCACTCGCCCTCACTCGCTGTCTCTCTTCTTCTCTCGTCACCCGATGGTCGCAGATGGTTGGGGCGGAGGGCTGGAGGCGAGAGACGCAGAGGACCGGGAGCATCTTCCATCTCAACGTCCAGCAGCTCCCCGCCGGACATGCCGGGCTGTCAGTCCAGGTCTGCGAAACTTGCTCGCTGTGCTTCAGCTCACGGTGGAGCGGGGGGGCGTGTCACGGCTGCGGTCACGTTACCAGAGTGTCAACCAGCTGGGGTGGATGGTGAGCTGGATGGAGACGCACAGACCCTTCCAAAAGGTGCAGGGAAGCAGGAGGGAGGCGGTGGAGCTGGTCAAGGGCGGAGCATCGAAAAAACTTCACCCGCCGGCCCCGACGTCATCGCTGCAGGTTTGACAGTTTTATGGTTGACATATAAAGAGACATGCGGAGTCATCACCAGACCACACACTTGCGCTCGGGATTCATGGGGCTTCCTGCTCGTGAGGTCAGAGGGGGAGGGCGAGTCCAGCTGGGGGTCACCTCGAGGGCACGAGAAGGCATCGGAGAACTCCTGCGAGTCCCGGAGAACGCCGATGACGCGATACCTGCCGCAGGTCAGGGCGACTAGCTGAGCGCATGGCGACTAGCTGAGCGCATGGCGACTAGCTGAGCGCATGGCGACTAGCTGAGCGCATGGCGACTCACCGCTTGGGGGCGTGGTGTCCCTTGATGACATGCTCCTGCACCAGCTTGGGCTGAGAGACGGCACACCAGAGCTGAGCATAGGCAATGAAGAACTGCCTCCTGCGAGAGCGAGCGAGTCACCGTGAGTGGGGGCAGGAGGAGAGGATGATGATGATGATGATGATGATGATGATGATGATGATGATGAGGAGGAGGAGGAGGAGGAGGAGGAGGAGGAGTGTGCTACCGCTCGTAGACGGAAGCCTTGGGCTGCTCCTGCAGGAACGCATGGTACGACATGTGCAGACCTCCGCTGTCTGCGATGTTCTCTCCCAGCGTGATGTTGCCGTTCACGTGCTGCCCCCCCGACACGTTGAACTCGTTGTACTGCTCCACCAGGCAGGCGGCGTCGTCCTCGTAGTGCCTCTCGGTCTGCGGATCCCACCAGTTGATCCGCTTCCCCTGCGCGTCATACTTCCTCCCCGCGTTGTCGAACCCGTGCGTCATCTCGTGCCCTAGGATGGACCCCAGGGACCCGTAGTTGCGCGCGACCGAGTAGTTGGAGGAGAAGAACGGCTCCAGCAGGATGCCAGCAGGGATGAAGAGAGCGTTCTTGGTGCGGGAGTAGTAGGCATTGATGGAGGTCACTGGATGGTCCCACTTTGCCGGCTCTTGCGGTTCCGTCAGAGTGCTTCTCTCGTGTGCTGAACGAGCGATAGCGATGGTGACGAGCGAGTCGAAGAAGGGTTTGTCGCCCAGTTGCAGGTCCGACAGCTCCCCCCAGTCCGGCCACTGATCGGGGTAGCCGACCTGGAAGTCCATGGCCTCGAGCTTCTTCAGCGCGTTGTCCCTCGTTGCGTTGTCCATCCAGTCGAGCTCGTTGAGGTGCAACTCGAACTGCTCGCGGATGTTGGCCAGCATGCCGGCTGCCGCCTGCTTGGAGGACTCGTTGAAGAAGTTGTCCACGAAGAGCTTCGACACGGAGTTGCCGAAGTGATGGGTTGTCAGGAAGTAGCACTTCCTCACCCTAGGAGAGGCCTCGCTCATCCCGTAGATCTGCTCGTTGATGATGAGCTTTCCTGCGATGAAGGGCGACGAGAGGTAGGGGGAGAACACCAGCACCGTTCGCATGCGAAGGTAACATCTCAAGTCATCCCAGGAGAACTTACTCAGGACGTCCTCGTCAAGCTTCTTCAAGTACTCCACGTCGTGCAGCGCCAGCAGCCCGTACTTGCTCGCCGTCGCGTTCTCCGTCCCCACCATGTCCATCTTGATGCTTGAGAAGAACATGTCCCAGTCGATCGTTGGCGCCCGTCGCTGCAGCGACTCGCGTCCGACGTGAACGTACGAGAGCCGCTCGTACCTCGAGGAGGGCGTCATGCACTTGGCGATCTCTTCCTCCACCCTCAGGGCTGTGACAGCCTGTCGTTGAGCCTCCGCCTCCGGAGTGACTCCAGCTGCCAGGAAGAGGCTCGTAACCGATGAGAGAGCCGCCTGCCGGTCGTCCTCGTGTCCCTTGTCGAGGTACATGCTCCGATGAGGGAGAGTCAGCCCGACATGTCCCAGCACAAAGAGGTTCTGCGAGCGGTCCAACTGGTCCCGAGCTACTTTCCAGCAGAAGAGGGCGCACCAGTTGAACAGCCCGGCGGTCCCCAAGAACTTCCCCAGCGTCTGCCCATCTTTCACCTCATCCACTGCCTGCAGCCATGGCGCTAGCGGTAGTGCTCCCGCCGCCTCGATCGCTTCCACGTCCATGCAGGAGCGGAAGAAGGAGGAGGCATCGCCCGAGGATGTGCTGAGGGCCGAGGTGACATCATCGATGACGCGAGCCTTTGCTGCCTCCCACGTGTACGACAGTGAGCCCATGAATGGAGGGATGGTCGCCTTCTTGATGAAGGACCCGCAAGCATACTCGTAGAAATCCTGGCAGGGGTCCGCCTCCTCCTCCATGAGCGCCGCCATATCTTCCGGTATCTCCCGTCGAGTCAGCTCGTTCTCCCCTTCCCTCCAAAGCCTTCGGAACCATCCGAGCTCGTCCTCTGTCTTCTCCCATGAGTCCTCACCCGTTACAACATCCTCGTACTCCCCGTACGGGTCGAGGATGTGGCTCAACTTCGACTTTAGCCTGCCCATCGTTCGCTGCAACCGCCTCCCTTCTGACAACTCGACTCCTCCTCTCCGCCCAAGTTCTCTTCCTCTGCCTCCATCTGTTATCATCACGTCTCCATCTCCTCCTCCTCTCCCCCCCCTCCTCTCCCCAGCCGCCGCCGCCGCCGCCGCCGCCAAGAGCAGCAGCAGCCGGCTTACTGCTGCCATGCCCCTTCGCCTCCTCGAGCCCACATCCCCCAACATTTTAGATGGGTGGACCTCGTCCCCCCACATACCACCAAGTTTGCGTTGACGTTGAAACCTGCTACCAAGTTGAAAGGGAAGGGAGGGAGAGAGAGAAAGAGAGCAGGAGGGAGGGGAAGAGGAGACGCTGTTCCGTTCCTTCTCTTGATCCTGCAGTCAATCGAGCAGACAGCAAGGGCGCAGCTTGAAGTCAGCTACCTTCACAGGGGCAGCGACATCTGAAGATGTGGGTATTGAAGGGTTCTGCGTCGTATCTCTTCGGTATCAGCAAGGGTGGGTCCTCGAGGTCGATGAAAGGTTTGAAGGCTGCGAGCAGGGACAAGTACGAGTGCATATCGGAAGACGACAGGGGAAGGCGCGATTCAGGAAACCAGCATGACTTCCTCCCTCCATCTGAGGAGAGTGGCATCCATCTGCCGGAGCGGGAGAGTCCTCCTCGAGGAAGGCCTCCTCAAGGGCTGACCTCCCTGGCTCTAGATCGCAATGAGACCCACAGCTCCCAAGAAGTTGTGGCGATCAGAAGCCATGGCAACCAAGTGGAAGGCAGCGAGCGCGTTCCTCTGTCGCCATGCCGGTCTTCGAGAGTGAACGGGTCTAGGATGGTCAGGTCGCCTGTACGTGGCAAGCACCATGGTATCAACGAGAATTCAGGCACAAGATCCCTCCCGGTCATGTGATCTGATCTACTGAGATCTGCAAGTCTTTACGACAAACGTTGTGTATTAACATGAAATGTTTGATTTAGATTCTTTCTAGGATTCTGAGTTGCAATTAGGTTGAATTAATAAAACAAGAAGCTTGAACAGATTCGACATCTCTCCGGCCTCTCTTCTTTTCGTCACGAAGTGATCATGTCCAGGAACGTTCGCTGCTCCATCGCATTCCATCCCCGCACTCGCGACCCTGGCACGCCTGCAGCCTCGTCAGCCCCGGAGCCCAACAACCCGAGCTGATCTCACCCGTACATGACGCAACGACTGTTCGCCCCTGCTTCGCCTCGTGTCTGCCCCACAGCTCAACCCGCCCAGCTCTCAGTCACGACTGTCAGGCTCACCTCAGGTCGCAGCCATCGGCAGGAGCATGCACGAGCTGCATGCATCCATCCGCATGTCGCCTCGAGCCTGCAGCCGTTGTCAGCACGAGCGATGCTCTCAAAGACACGGCGAGGGACCACAGCACGTCCATGTTGCGTTGTGCCCATTCATCCTGTGCCCGCTGATCAAAACCCCAGGATGCTGCAAGAGCAAGTCAAGAAGAAGCTCAACCCTCTGGTGAGTACCATCTTGCATCCCGAGGGGTTGCCAGCTACGTAGATCGTGTTGCATCTCCTGATGAGACTCAGTCACAGCAGTGAGGCGAGACGATGTCCCCACCCGCACTGCACGCGCGCGCACAAGCTCTTGAAGCACAGCATCGCGCTATGACCGTCGTCTTGGCATCGATCCGTCAGTAACAGAGGAGCGTGTCGCAAGGGACTACTTTGCTTGACTGCTTCTGAGATCGGGCTCATCGCATCTTCGCTGAAAGGGAAGGTCCGAACCTACCAGTCCAGGAATTGACCCCCGGCCACCCGTGAGGACATAACCATCAACCTCTCAGGTCTCCTTACCGCAAAGTTGAACCACAGCTCAGGGAGCTCCTCCATCACCATCTTCTCCAGTCTGGAGCAAGACGACGTCACCATGAACAGCTGCGCTTTCAGCGTCAAGATTAGATTCGCGTCCTCGACTATGGAAGGACCTCCTTTGGAGACAGGTGCGTACAAAGCAGAAGCATCACTTCAGAAGGAAATTCTGCTATTGAGAAGGCCCTTAGATCCCCTCCGGTGTCAACTTTGCTCCATGTTGATATGCCCTGATTGCCGTCACTCCTCAGAAAAACGTAAGAATCTTCACCCATGGGTATGAACGGAAGCTTTCCGAAAATTCTGGGAAACCCCGTCAGTGCCGTCAGCTAATCGATGGTTGAAGCAACAACAGATAAACGAGAAAAGTCAATAGCAACAGACAGAAAAGTCGGATAGCTCGGAGGTCATGAGAACCCTGTATCATATCATCTTCGACGGACCATCATGCACGAATGATTGAACCTAATCACCATGATCGATACTACATCAGTTTCTTCCCCCTTTGCATCTGAGCTGTGTTTATCACTGTCTCATCTTCCATCCCGTATCACACTTCTCCTCCCAAACCCGCACCCGTCGGTCAACCTTCTCCTTCCTGTTCCTCCCTCTGCTTTCGCTTGTCTCTCTGCCCCCTTCGCCCCCCCTGACCCTGCATTTCAACCTGTTTCCATTCCTCCTCATCCTCCTCCTCCTCCCAATCTTCCTTCCATCTTTTTGCTCCCCTCGCTCCCTCTAAGCTTGCTGTCCCCGCTCCTCCTCCTCCTACTTGTTACCTTGTATCCCGACCATTCCTTGTTGCAACTGGTCTCCGACAACCCCACCACCCCCTGTTTCTGACCATCACCCCCCCACAATTTATAATATAACCCCTACCATTGAGAAAATACTCCCACCTATATCATTTCAGTACTACCCAATCTTGTAGTATTTATATGAGACTGGACAACCGCGAAAAAAAGTACCCCTACCCACAAAATCAAACCTCAAAGTTTTATGCGAGCACCCCTACCCTTATTTCAATGTACCCACCACCAATACTGGGCCGCTACCCCACCCTTTTCTTCAATGTTTTTTTTCTATGTCCTTACCCCACCCTCTGATACCTTCACGAACCCCCTCTGGATCAGGTACCCCCTTTAAACTTCGAAGGTGAATGAGGGGGATGATGAAATGGGTTGAGAGGGGATGTGGATCCACAAGTCGGTTTGAGATGATGGCGATCAGCGGGCTGAGGCTGCTGCTTCTCGCGATCATGGCGGGAAAGGCGAAGGGTCAGGTGAGACGGAAGGATGGCGAACGAGGAGAAGGAGAAGCTCAGTCGCGCTGTGAAGACCAGTAGTAACAGTAGAGATCATCAGTAGTAGTTCCAATGACCGTACCAGTTGACTGCTGGCCAGTCATCGGATGCCACCAGTATGGCTCAAGTCATCCGGGACACTGACATTGATGTGCACTACGGCAGTCTGCCACTGTTGCCGCGGCAGGAGCGACAGACGTGCAACCTCGTTCAGACAAGTTCGCGTTCCCCTTCTCCTACCCTTGTCAGGTGAAAACCTCTCGGCGCGTCACCGTCAGCAGCTCCGAGGGAGTCATCTCTTGTTGCAGATTCCAGTCTACACCCTCCCTGGAGAGCAAGGATTGTTCAAGAAGGCAGCCGACGGGACGTTCGAACGGCAGGCAGCAAACGATCCCATCTATCAGTGCAGGCACGTGGCAGCGGGAGGGATCAACGAGCATGCAGGCTTGACTCGAGTGCAGTGTGTTGGAGGGGGATATTTCCGAGAGCTACTGTAAGAGGAACGCCCCGAACTGGTCGCCATCCCAGCTGTGGTGCACGTACCCTGACGTGACGCGCCTCTCCTGGACGAAAGAGGAGGAGGGATGACTTGAGCTGGCAGGGAGATGCGATGGCGAGGAACGCGGTCGAGGTGGTCATGGCGAAACCTTCGGCACGCAACAAATAGTGAGAAGAGTTCATGCATGCGTGAGCATGAGACGATGACCGTTACAACTTTCAGCTGCCAGATGGCCATGAAAGCCTACCTCTGCACGTAGACTCCTGCTTCGCATGCCTCCGCCTCCCCTTCCTGACCCCCAGCCTCTCTATCTCCCTCCGCTCCTGGCTGGGTGACCTGCCGATCCCCTGCCCTTCCTCTTATCTCTTGCTCTCCTCCCTGCCTTTCTTCCACTCTGTGACCCACCTGAGTAACGATGACTCGATCAGTCTATACTTTCGGCCTTGCAACGAGACAGGTGCGGTTGCGGTTGCTAGGAGCGGCTCCCGTTGACGCCAGCCTTGACGCAGGAGGTCTAGTGCGACCGATCTGCCTCGAGGTTGTTGCCGACTTGTCTCATGGCGTCTGACTGGTCGTACATCAGGACTGCCTGAATGCCTACAAGGCCTGCGGGTTTTCCAAGGGCTGGCGAGACCTGCAGGCGCGACAACTCGCATGCCGCTACTCCTCTGACAAGTCGCTTGCAGTGCGGGGAGGAGATCAAAGCGGGATGGGTCACCTTCATGGGCGACACTCGAGTAAGCGCAGACAGGCAACTCTTGCTCCTTGTGAACTTGTTCTTCGCAGTACCCTCCGGACGAGAAGGGGAATGACTTGTGGAACACGGGGATGCCTTCCTGCGAACGAGCGATGCTACGGTAGGAGCAGCAGTGGGAAAGAGAACGGGACCACACCTGAGTGCGAAGGCTGACGAGAATGTCAGATCGGACTTGAGCCTGCGAGACGCGCTGCTGCAGCATCAGGTTCCGGACTAGACGCGCAAGTGCCGCATCGCTCCCTCAGTGCTTGCGCAGACCTGGACTGATCAGATTGTAAATAACTTCAACAAGATCTTCGGGAAGAGCACGAGGCAAGCTTTGAATGGAAAGGTGAAACCGATCACTTGACAACTGTTTGTCATCTGCTTATCGATCACACGTCGGCTGTCAGGTGACTGTACAGCTAAGCTCTGCCACGAGGTGCCGCCATCACTCCATGTGGTGAGGGACTAAATAACTGAGAAATGCTTGAATCATGGCAGTGACGTTGAGCTTGAAGGCTGATGCATCTCATGGGCTCTGCTTCATGCTTGTTTTGTATATCAGTATTGTTTCTATACATGTAAAAAATGATTCAATGATGCTTTCTGAATGATCGGACTGGGACGGTATTGCGTCATCTTATGACCGTACTCAGAGTCACACGCCGGGTGCCTGAGGCCGAACTTGCACTGCGCCGTTCTGTGATTTACTCAAAGTCAAGTTAAAAAGAAGTCTGTTACTACTGAGTCAGGCCGCTTTCAGGCTAGTATCATGGCATGACTGAGCCTGTCGCCGGACAGTGACTGTCGGATCGGATAGTCACTCCAGTAGTGCTGCGGCTCGGACTCGCGAGCCGAGTCGGGCTGGGCCCGGGGCCTGTAGATGTCCGGGAGTCCCGCGCCGGCCGGGCAGTCCGACCCGGTGACCCGCCGGTCGTTCTCTTCTCAAGCGGCCCTCCCGCCGCTCAGCCGCTATTCGACCGTACCGTACCGTCGGACGGCGGCACTGCATGTGCCTCGACTCGTGACGCGAGAGTCACCGTACTACGGTATCATCGAGGCACACTTTCAAGTTCGAGTTTAGGGAGCGTAACTAACCGGCGTACTACGGTACCGTAGTACCGTACCGTACCGTACCGGTCCGGGTACGGTATTACGGCAGGTCACCCGGTGCCGCAGTGCAGTGACGGTGAAGTGACGGGGCCGTGACTTTGCCGAGAGTCTCCGGCTAGATATATCGGCAGTGACTACGACGCTGGGAAGAGGGGCGTAGGAGGGGTCATTTCGACGGGATAATTGGGGGTAGTACCGGCACGCACTGCTTCAAGTAGTATCTATCTGACCGACTAGAAAGAGACCTGCGCCTGTGACCCCTTACAAGTGAGATATAAACATTCATCTAAAATAGTTTTAGCAACTCATCGACATATCTGCCGCTCTAAAATGAAACGCTTCGACTGCTCGACAGTGAACTCACAACCTTTCGTTGTTGTCCCCTTTTTTAAGCCCGCCGGAACTTTGTCAGCAGCCTTAACCACCCGACAGGAGTACCCTTCCGATGACCTGAGTTTTAACCCCCGTGTGTGAAGTGTAATGTGACTGCTTACGTCAGCAGGTCACATGGGCAGTGACATGCTTGTGGGGAACTCTGTGCCCCTTTTCGCCACCCTACCATCTCCTTGGTAAAGTAGGGGTACAAAGCAGATTTAGTGGTACAAAGAGGAATGAAGGGGGTAGGGTTCAAATACTTGAATGTGGGGTGGGGTGGTTGCACTTTACTCGTTATCAGCCGACAAGATCGCGAGGGGAGGCAACCAGAGCAGAAAAACTCAAAGCAACGACCTCGCGAGCAAACAGGAAGCAACACTCGAAGATGACCTCTCAACCCTCAGTGCGCATCGTGCCCCGGAAGAAGCTGCATTGGAAGCCAGGAAAGGAGAAACAAGCTCCTGTACAGCTGACTCAGCAAGACATCCTCAAACTGTTTCACGTGAGACAAACAGAAGCTGCGAAGATGCTGGTAAGTCCTTGGTGTTGGTAAGCTGATCAAAGCCACTCACATTGTTGTAGGGCATCTCGCTAACTGCCTTGAAGAGTGCTTGTCGAATCCTTGGACTCCCCCGCTGGCCATATCACCGAGTAGACATCGATGAAAAAGCTAGCCGAATGGCTCAGTCAACGGGGCTCGTCGAAGTACTCAGCTCGGAGTGCTTTGAACCATTGTTTCTTGCAACGGACTCTTTCAGCAGCCCACAATCTCCTCCAAGCAATGGCTATGACTCTACAGGCTACCAGAAATATGATCTTCAGCTACAGTCAGCCTTCACGTGCATGAATTCACAACACAACCAGGCATCGTATGAGTTTCAAATGGGGACGAGGATAGCAAGTGGAAAGCGGTCTACTGCCCACAGCAACATCTCAGATTTTGGGGAAAATCGTGAATTTGAGCGGCTTGTGGTGTGGCCACACAATTTGGAGACCAGAAGAGAGAATTCCACGCTGGAGCTCTTTGACGAGGCTCTTCAACACTGTTGCATGTCGAACTAGATATCATACATCTGTCTGTCACTCTAATCACTGCCTTCACCCTCTACTCTGTCTTTGTTTTTCTGTTTCTGTTTTCAATGAATCAATTGCTGTAGCTTACTAAGTTACCACCGAACTACCGTACCGTGCCGTCAGTGATACCGAAACTTGCCCATGTTCGAGTCATGCAGTATCTATTTAAGAGGCGGGTCCTGCCCCTGTACATCTCGATAGTAGCTTGAAGTATCGGCCGGGTTCAATATAAACATGACGTAGCACAGAGTCAGACAAAAGTTTTCCAAGTTCCATACTTGTCAGTAATGGCGAGCCCGCCGGGCTAGGCGTGTTCAGTGCCGGCGCCGCCACTGCCATTCGCACGCGGCTGCCGCACTGCGGCACGCGGCGGCGGCACTGGCACTGGAATCATGATGCGGCGGCCCTGACCGTGTCTCAGTGACTCAGAGATGGCTATCGGTTGATAGTAGAGTTACCAGTGTGGCCCATAACCGTTACATTTTTCTGGAGACGTTGCAGAGTCGTTACGCAGCAGAGTGGCGAAGAGGGAAGGATATGATGAGGGAGGGAGGGAGGGAAGGGAGGGAAGGGAGGGAGGTAGGTAGGGCGAGACGAGAAAATACTTGGAGAGATCAGAGGATCGAGGAGGGGAGTCAAGAGAAGAAGCTGGTCAGGGGCAGAGAAAGAACGACAAGGAGATGGGGAGAGGGAGTGAAATGCGAGTGACGTCAGAACATCGTGACACATGCATGACACATGTTTCTTCCTTGCAGACATGACGGAAGTCTGTTACAACGCAGCAGAGCCATTGCCGCTCGACGAGGAGTGCGTGCACGGGAGGCTCGGCAACGGGCTGACGTACTACGTGCGGAACAACGGGAAGCCGGAGGCTCGAGCTGAGCTGAGGCTCATCGTCAAGGTCGGGTCAGTGAACGAAGAGGATCACGAGCAGGGAGTGGCGCACATGGTTGAGCACCTGGCGTTCCGAGGGACTGCCATGTTCAACACGTTCCAGGTGGTGAGGTTCCTCGAAGCCATCGGCGCCAAGTTCGGGGCCTGTCAGAACGCGTACACGGCGTTCGACGAGACTGTCTACTTCCTGAGGGTGCCCATCGACACCGACAACCTGCTGGAACGGAGCCTCATTGTGCTGCGAGAGTGGGCCTTCCACATCCGATGTACCGATGATGACGTAAACAAGGAACGGGGCATCGTCATGGAGGAGTGGAGGCAAGGGCGGACAGCGCACGGCAGGACGGACGAGAATTACTTCCAGACTCTCATGGACGGGTCGACGTATGCGAGGAGGCTGCCGATTGGAAAGATCGACGTGATCAAGCACTGCAAACCCTCTGTCGTGCGCGACTTCTACAAGAAGTGGTATCATCCTCAGAGGATGGCGGTGGTGGCGGTGGGAGACTTCGACAACTACAGTGGAGGAGTGGAAGAAGTGGTTCGCATGATCCAGGAGATCCTCGACGTCACTCCTGCCAGTGAGTGGCGGGAGCCTCTTGCTGTCTCTTTCCCTCATCAGGTCGAACCGAAGCTGTCCATTTTCAAGGACCAAGAGGCCACCAACGCTTCTGTCATCGTCGACTGCAAGCGTCCGAGGCAGCCGGTGAACACGCATAGGGACTACAGGAGGACGATCCTAGAGTACCTCTTCCATGAGGCCTTGTCGAACCGCCTGTACAAGCTCGGCGTCTCCCTCGACCCTCCCTTCTACAGCGCTGTGACCACCATCAGTCTCCCAACGAGCATCATGGAGACTTGCTCCATCGCCATCTCCATGCAGGAGGGGCTTGAGCTGCGAGCGCTGCGGGCGGTGCTGGTGGAGGTGGAGCGAGTGAAGAGGAGAGGGTTCTCTGTGTCGGAGCTGAGCAGAGCCAAGGCAAACCTGATGTCCGACCTCGAGGCGGATCAGCTCGAGAAGGACCAGCATGACAGCGACTTCTTCTGCTCCGAGTACGTGGAGCACTTCTGTCGGGGGGAGCCCGCGATGGGAGTGGAGCATGAAGTGCTGCTGTGCAAGGCTGTGCTGCCTGGGATCACCTGCGAGGAGGTGGCGGCGGTGGCGAGAGACTTTGACTGGACGGGTGACTGTGTCGTGAAGATCACGAGACCCGAGAGCTCCTGGCTGAAGAGGATCCTGTCCCATCGCTCCCACGGCTCCCTCCCCCTCCTCTCCGTGGACAGCATGCGGAAAGTCTTCGAGGAGGTGGCGAGGGTCTCCCCCGACCTGACTGACTGGGAGCAGAGCGAGGCCCTCGCGCTCTCGGACGTGCTGAAGCCTCCTCCTTCCCCTGGCACCATCGTGTCGCGTTCGGAGTACCGGGAGATGAAGATGACGGAGCTGCAGCTGAGCAACGGGATGCGCGTGTGCTACAAGAAGACCAACTTCCTGGACGACGAGGTTCAGTTCAAGGGCTTCGCCATGGGCGGCCTGTCAGAGCTGAGCAAGAAGCAGCTGCTCTCAGGGAGGATGAGCACCTCGATCGCCAGCGAGATCGGAGCCTTCGGAGTCCGTCCTGGGGAGCTGGTGGACATGCTGGCGGGCATGCGGGTGACGGTGAACACGGAGATCTCCACTTACTCGCGAGCCTTCGGAGGAGAGTGCAGCCCGACGAACCTCGAGGCTGCTCTGCAGATGATCCACCTGCTCTTCACCTCCCAGCTGCAGCCCAGCCAGGATCAGGTGGCGGTGCTGCTGAGGATGACGAGGGAGCAGATCGAGAACCAGGGGAGGAGCCCCCAGGCCCTGTTCTCTCAGAAGGTTATGAGCCTCAACACCTCCCACAACGACTTCTTCGTGCCCCTGAAGCCCTCGGACGTGGACGAGATCGACGTGTTCCTCTCCTCCTCCTTCTTCCGCCGCTGCTTCAGCGACCCCTCCAACTTCGTCTTCGCCCTGAGCGGGAACATCGAGGAGGAGAAGTTGCTCGCGCTCGTGGAGGGATACCTCGCCTCCATCCCCAGGCTGTCGCAGGAGGAGGATCTGGGCTTCAGCCGCGTGCCTCGCATGCCCAACGATCGGGATTTGCTGCGTCCTGTCTCCTTCGAGTTCCCAGCGGGGAAGGTGGAGGAGCACATGAGGATGAGGATGGTGGACCCGCTGTGCTACTGCCAGGTCACCTTCCCCATGTTCATCGAGTGCTCGGGGGCGGAGCTGAGGGAGACGATGCTCCTTGCGCAGGCCATGCAGCTGCTCGAGACGCGACTCATCGATCGCCTCCGCTTCCAGCGCGGGGTCGTCTACAACGTCCTCGCCTCCGCTGACTTCTCCTCCTCCCATCCCTCGCACTCTCAGCCCCTCCACGGCCTCGCCGGCATCTCCTGGACCTGCCAGCCCCACCACATCTCCACCCTCGCTGGGGTGATCCTGCGAGAGCTCGAGCAGCTCAAGGCCGAGGGCCCGACGGGGGAGGAGGTGGCGACGAGGCTGGAGATCACGAGGAGGGAGTTCGAGACCTCCAGCAAGCACAACTCCTGGTGGGTGGAGCGGATGGTGTCGGGCTACGGGAGCAAGAGCTACAAGGGAAACCTGGGGCTGTGCCTGCAAGAGCTCGAGGACGTGCGGCAGGAAGTTCTCTCCTCCCTCTCCCCGGAACTTCTCCGCCAGGTCTTCTGCCGTCGCTTCCCCGACCTCGAGCGTCGCACGTTCGTGTCCCTGCGGCCTTCATGGAGCACCATGCTCCTCTCCGCCCTCCGCCTTCGCTTCGCCGTTGCTCCCGTCACCTCCTCCTTCCTCGCCGTCGGGGCGACGCTCCTTGGCAGCCTCCTCGTGCTGGCGACCCTGCGGGGGATGCGAGGAGGAGGTCTGGGGCAGCTCATGAGAAAGCTCCTCAAGTGAGGAGGAGACTTTTATTCATTCGAGTGTGTGTGTACAAGAACAAGCGTGCGAGTGACAAGAGGCAAAGCAGAGGATTGTAATGAATGTCAGTTAAAGTGCCCCTTCCTCCTCCTCCTCCTCCTCCTCTCCCCCCCCCCCCCCCAACACACACACACAC